AGGTGAGTGAGGAGGTGGCTGGTCTCTTCTCCCACATAACAAGTAATAGGAGAAGAGGAAATGGCCTCAAGCTGAGCCAGGGGAGGTTTAAAGTGTATATTATGAACAATTTCTTCACCAAAAGGGTTGTCAAGCATTGGAACAGGCTGCCCAGGGCAGTGGTGAAGTCACCATCCTGGAAGTGTTCCCAAACTGTGAAGGTGAGCCCCTCACTGACACGGTTTAGTGGTAGCCTTGGCGGTGCTGGGGTAACGGTTGGACTTGATGTTCTTAAAAGTGTTTTCCAACCTGGCTGATTCTATGAGTCTGTGAATAATAGACAGAAGGAAGACATTTTGAATTATTTGGGGATTGGCAAAGTTTACTTCAAAGTGGCAAGATTGATATTGGTAATTCTTTTTCACTTTAACTGGTTTAAATGGCCGCTAATGCAGATGACAAGGGCACATTACCTACTGGGATATATTCAGTATCCTGATAATTAATTGATGAATAAATTTGATCAGCAGGTATGACAGTGACAATAGCTCTGTATTTTATAAGCAGTGTTCTTTAGAAAGAAGCTGTTCCAGTATGTATAAGATCTTTATATAGAGCTATAGGGAACCTCTAGAAAAGTAGGTTTAAAGATTTATCAATGGCTTATAGAGAAGATAAACAATGCTGAACAGCCATCTCTTAAAAGGCAACCAAACAGTTAACAATTTACTGCATAAGTGTGTCTTCAGGGTTAAGATAGAGGTGCCTTAGTGTGGATTTAGAGCAAATTGTGAAAAATCAGAGCTTGTTTTGAAACTGCTTTGTTCTGTGCTGTAACCAGCCCTTCTACTGAGCACAAGGTCACTAGCTTTAGCTTTCCTGGAAGTATGATTTCCTCCCCTTACCACTGCTGCTGACACCTATAAGAGTGCCCACTCTGGGTGCGAGGGACAGGGGGAAGAGGCTCCTAGAGGCATGGATCTGTGACTGTTTTCAATCTCAAACCAAGAAGCACACACTAAAAAGTTGATTATGGCATCTCAGTCAATTCCTCTGTTGCGTTCATGGCAATGGTGCAGGAGTGGGGGAAGAAAAAGGCCAAGGAAGCTTTATGTTGCCTTTTCCACCCTCAGCATCCTTGACCTAGTTCAGGCAGCCCTGAAGATATGCTCTGCAAACAGAAGTTCCTAACAGCTGGGACCTACAGCTCATGACAACTTGAACACAGCCACGCTCTTCCTTCTCTCTTGCCCAGCATACTTCTCACAATATGGTCTGTCAAGGGGGAGGTCTACAGCTCTGTGATAAGCCCATCATACAAATAATTTAGGGGGTTGCAAGTAGCTGCTTCCTACTGCTCCTTCCTTCTGAGATACCCAGGTAAGTAAAGAATCCATTTAGGTTTGTCTCTTTAGATACTTAAATGTCTCCATCTCGTGACCCTGATGGAAACTTAGAGCTGAAGATCTTTCAGACCAGCATTTAAAATCAGCACTTAGAAAATGTATTTCAGACACAATTTCCTACATGAAATTACAGCCTCATTTTTTAAGGCGGCTATTATTTTCCCAATGCTTAGAGAAAATATTCAGTGCCTGTCAGAAAGCGTATTTTAAAGGAAACAAAACAATTTAGGTTTTGGCATTTACCTCCTGTTCCTTGCAGCATTAGTGGGAAGAACAGTGTTGCTCAGGAACAGCAAGGACAGAAACTGTGGGGGACAGTTAGATTTATACTCGGTTTTAGTTCCCTGTTCAAAGATTCAGTTCTGTCAACTTCCCTCCTACATGATAATTCCTATGAAGTAATATTCTCATGAAATCATATATTTCTTCAGAATGTAAAATAGCTGCTGTTTTCTTATGCTACTGTATGGTAATTGTTTTGTAGCCAAATCTAATTAGTAAAGGTTCTAGGTATTGATTGCTTATTGATGATGAGCTCCCTTTTGTATGGAACCTACAGTACAGAAGAGCCAAGGAACTGTGTCAAAGCTCATAGATGATAGTCTAACCAAGTCTTCCCAACTTCTACTAAGAATTAAGCTTACTTTAAATATGGACATTTGTGTATACAAGGTCCATAATGAATAAATGTATGAGAACCAAAAGATGAAGAGTCTATCCTTTGATCAAATCGACTGTTAAAAATGGCAGACAAAGCATGCCAAGACAGGTAGTGTGCCCAACAGCTAAGTGATATTGATCCCAAATAAAAAAGAGAGAGCCTGTGGCATCAGAACATGCAAGACAGCCATGAAGCAGTCCGATGGTTCTGTGGAGTCAATAAATGGAGACTTGAGTACAATCCTCCGCCTTTCCAGTTCTCTTTCTCTGCTGTGCTTACCTGACACTTGCCTTGCAGCAGCACAGGTGCTTGCCAGATCCCTACGTAAACCACCACCTGATTAAAGCAGCAGAAGACCAGCCTATCAAGAACTGGAAAGCTGCTTTTCAGACAGGGCAAGTGCTAGGACTTGCTCAATTGCCTGTGGAATCACACCCTGAGGCTGAAGTCAGAGCAGACTAATGTAGACGGTATTGTTCCTTAATGAAAGCCAAAATGCACTGGCTAAGACCCAGCATATAACTTTGAGCTTGAGACAAATTGATAGACAAGCAAAAGCATCACACAGGGGCAATAAAGACGAGTCAATGTGACTTACCTGAAGCCTTCACTGCGAAAGAAGCCACAGCAGAGATCACTCACAGCGCAGAAAGGAGGTTCACAGAGGAACAGATTTAGACCGGGTGGGCGGGTGAGGAGGAGAAGGGGATTAATGTGAAACCAGAATTCCTCTGAGCAGAGGAGCAGCTGTGTCAGTAACACCTCAGGCTACAGTGAGGTGCAAATGCTGTTTGGTGAACTCCTAAGGACAGCTGTGCTGATCTATCTGTCTACAAGAGACTACAGGTGACAACAGTAGCTGGGCAGTCACTAACCTACTACAGGTTTATCAGAAACAGGCTTTGCATCTTTATAGCACTCCTCCATTCTAATTTGCTTTTGTTTCCTCTTTCCTTGTATTTAGCCCTGGAAGTCAATGTGGATCTACTTTTCAGAGATTCTGAAACACCTCTGGTTAACAAAGTTCCATCAGACCCATGGTTTCCAAGCATTTTTACAACTTAGGTTTCAACAGTGCAGATACATTGGGAAAAATAATATAACTGCATATATTCAGACATTCCTACCATTTTTTCTGTTCTTCCTACCACGAATTTTGGTCTGTGAACTGACTTTGTGTGAGCATACTTCCTGCTTATTGTTCCACGTGAATATTACCTTCTCTCCTTAGGCTGATTGTTAAGTTGTAAATGGGAAAATGAATGAACCTACCTGTTCCCCATTACCGCTGTTAATCAGGGCTGCTCGACTGTCATGACTTGGCAACGAAGATGCTCTGAAGGCTGGAGCACCTCTCCTATGGAGACAGGCTGAGTTGGGCTTGTTCAACCTGGAGAAGAGAAGACTCTGAGGAGATCTTAGAGCAGCTCCCAGTGCCTAAAGGAGCTACAGGAAACCTGGAGAGGGGCTTTTTACAAGGGCCTGTAGGGGCAGGACAAGGGGAATGGCTTTAACCTGACAGAGGGGAGACTGAGATGAGCTCTGAGGCAGAAGCTCTTCCCTGTTAGGGTGCTGAGGCGCTGGCACAGGGTGCCCAGAGAAGCTGTGGCTGCCCCATCCCTGGCAGTGTTCAAGGCCAGGTTGGACACAGGGGCTTGGAGCAAGCTGCTCTAGTGGAAGGTGTCCCTGCCCGTGGCAGGGGGTTGGAACTGGATGAGCTTTGAAGTCTCTGCCAAGCCAAACCAGTTTATGATTGATTCTATGACTTCTCAGCAACACAGACCAAAAGGATGAGAACAAAATGGCTCATTTGGGATAAGCAAAATTCAATTTGCTGTTACTAGAGATCGGTGGAAGGAAGCTGCTGAGATCAGTGAGGCTTTTGGAGGAAAGCACAAAAAGACAGGGAGAAATCATGAGCATTTCAGAGCTGGAAGGTGAAAAGAGCAGACTGGGGAGAGTCTGCGGTGGTGGGGAGGTGGGCCAGGAGGACACTCACTGCCTGTTGCAGCTGCTGTCAGGTAAGGTAAATGTGGCCTGTGAAGGGAGCAGAACCTAACAGCATCTTCTCCATCTGGAAAGATCCCTCCTCAGTGTCTGTTACCGGGGAGGATGTGGGGAAGGCCTCGCTCTTCCACGGGGTTGAGCTTGCTTCTTCCACCGTCCCGCAGGGCAGCGCCGCACATCTGCTCCCCGCGCATCCGGAGCCCCGCAGTGAGCCCCGGGGAGGCTCTGGAACGGACAGATCCTCACAGGGGCTGCCGCGGGCCGCCCGCCCCGGCTCAGCCGGCAGCGAGAGCGGCGGAGCGCGCCAGGCCCGCCCGCGGGAGGCAGCCGCTAGGGGGCTGCCTGTAATCGAGTCGGGCCGGCAAGTGTAGTTACCGGGAAACCGCCGCCCCCCGGGGCCCCGCGCCCCTCGCGTCTCCTTCCGGGGGCGCTCCCGCTCCCCCCCGTCTCTACCTGCTCATCCCCTGCTCCCGGCCTGCGCCACCGCTCACCTGTGCCCGCCCCGCTCCGCACCGCAATCCCGGCGGGCGGGAGGAGCCCGCCCCGTCCCGCCCCAGGCGGGCGGACCCTCGTCTCCGCCCTGCCGCGGGTCCCGGCCCGAGACCCCCGGCCCGGCTCGGCCCGGTCCGGCCCTGCCTCTCCCGGCCGCGGAGCCCGGCAGCCAATCGGAGCGGCGCTGCCGGGCCGGAGCTGTTTACCCAATCTCAGCCCGCCTCCCCGTCGGGGAGCCGCCGAGGGGGGAGCGGGCGGCGGGGGGCACGGAGGAGGCAGGGACGCGGCCGCGGAGAGGGAGCCGCAAGGGGAGCGCAACAAAGCGCGAAGGCGAGGCGGGGGTAGATGACAGCCTGGCCCGCGGGCTCCCCTCCCGTCCGCGTCGCCCCGGCGGGGGCACCCCGCGCTCGTACCTGACCATGACCCCGCGCCGGTCCCGGCTGGGCCACCCCGGCGTTTCCCGCTGAAGGGACTGGCTCCATTCCGACCTCCCCCACTCCCTTTCTCCTCCGCCTCCTCGCTGCTGAGGCTGCCGCCTCTTCCCGGAGCCCTGCCGGAGTGATGGGCTGCATCGGATCCCGCACTGTGGGTAAGGCGTTGGCAGGGACGACGGTAGAGGGATGCTCGGGCAGTGGCGGCCCCAGCCCTGGTAACGGCACGACGGCCCCTGGCACGAAGGGCGGCGGTTGCCCCTCGCAGCCCCCCTCCCGGCTGCCCAGGGCCCGTCCAGCGCCATTAGCGGTGCGCGACCGTTCCGCACCTCGCCATGCCCCGGTCCCCCGTGGCGCGGCGCGGCGCGGAGCCCCGGCCGCTGGCCTAGGTGCTGGCGGCGGGGCCGGGGGCAGCGCGGCTGCGGGGCATGCAGGGGCTGGGGGAACGTGTCCCGTGTCACTCGTGGCGGAAGGTCGCGGAACATGTGGGTCAGTGCGGTGCCTCCGGAGGAGGGGGGGTGGGTGCGGGGCGTGCCTCCCGAAGCGGGATCAGGCGGCCGGCGGCTGCCTCCTTTGCTCGGTAGCGGTTTATTGTTAGCTGAGGATGCATAACGGTGCATGATCTGCACGTCTTCTTCCCCTTCCCCCTACGTAGACTTCAATGGAGAACAGCAAACAAAACTGAATCCCTTCCCTCTCGCAGGGCGAGGGGACAGAGTGGGAGGGATCGCATCTTTCCACTGGGCTATGCAGATTTCACAGCAAAGGATCCCAAGCCTTTAGGCTATGTAAGCTAGCTCTCCCCTCCTACACACTTGCAGATACCAAGGGATCCCTTGATCCCTAAGCACAGGTCTCTACACGTAAAACCAGCATCTCATGGCACACTTTCCTCCCCACGGGAGAATTGCTTTCTGTGCAAACCACCATGTGCAGACGTTAGTTACGTGGGGATGTGTCATTCAAGACACCAAAACAGTCTCTGGGAGGATACCAGAGCTAATTCGGTAGTACGTGTCTCTCAAGCCTTTCCACAAGGCACACAGGCACTGTGTCGTCTGTGGGAAAAGGAAACCTCCAAGGGCAAGAGAGTTGAACCCCATCCCCAGAATAAATCTGAGGGACCGTGTCAAAGCCTGCTGCTGTGACGCTTCTTGGCTCAATGGGAAAAGCCCTTTGTAAGAGCACTTCCAGGGAATAACTTACTCCTGCAGCAGCAACCTTTAAGCCACAGACTCCAGTTTCTACTTTGGGATTTAATCCCCACAACCAACCTATGTCTTTTACCAGTCTCAAACATCTTCAAGACCTAAAGAAGTCTGTTACGGCTTTTGTAATGTCCACGTGGCAAAGTTCACTGCAATATTTCCCTTAAGATTCTTCAAGCTCTTTACCTGGATGAGGTAAAGACATCCCTGTAGCATATCAAAACATGTATTGACTCCCTCTCCTGCCTTTCCTGTATCATCCACACATGCACATTGCCAAAGGCTTTTTTATCCTGTTAGCTAGAAAATTATATATACCCTTTTTCTCAATGTGTGTCTGAGCTAGCAGCATTAATTCTTGGTTTCTCTCCACAACACTGTTCAAATACAGAACAAACACAAATCTAGTAACATCCACTCTCCACTCCAAACTGTGGTTAAGCTGTCATATGTTACTACATAGGTATCGCTCCTGTGCATGGCAGCATTTTTGTACTCTGTGGCCTGGAATCTGTGTTACAGAAAAGCTTTGTATAACTGAGCTATTGCCTGTATCATTCCCATATATATATATATATATATAAATATATATATGTATAAATGTCATATGTATATGTGGGCATAGATGAAAATATATGAGAACATCTGTACGTCAAAATTATGGTGGGATAATTCACTTTGTCTGCAAACTGCACTCAGATATAGACCTTCATGGTGTAGTTGCTGAACATTCCATACTGTAGTAGTTTTTGGTTTATTCAATATATGCTTATTTCAGATGGTGAGAACACATTGGACATTAGGGACCTACTTATGCAGTTAACTGAGGAATTTTTCCTTAACCTTATGTTATGAAGGTGTGTTAAGGGGAATTGCACAACCATGATTCTAATCTCTATGGGAGTCAGATATGAGTGTAGTAATAGTGTCTGATGCCTGCTTCATCTGAAACTTTTACACTGTTTTGCTTCAGCAGGGGCTTCGTCTGTTTTATGTCCTAGAGGTTAGACTGGCTGAGGGTGGGATCCATGAGTTTTACTTGGAGTTCTTGGCTTAAGGAAGTTTGTTCAGAACAGTTCTTATTTGGCAGCCTAGATTTTTCATTCCAGCCTTTCTGGAGTTATTGGAAGGATCCTTCAGACCTGTTTTGGGAAATCAGTGCTAGGTCTGAGCCCTAGGATGTGGTTGGAAACTAATACCCTAGTATGAGTAGAGCTTTCTGTTCTTGCTCTATAGTGTATCTGGTATTTTGCAGACTTAGTTCGATTTACAGGCTCTGTATTGCCTTTCCAAGACCATGTAGGTCCTGGAGATATAAGAAGGGTGATACACTTGTATTGGTTTTGTCTTGAAATTTGCATGGAGCAGATTTTGAACTCAGATTCTGGGAGGTTTTAATTAGTGATAGAAAGCTTGCAATCAGTCACATTTAGTTTATTCACCACACAAGGGCTGGTGCAGGATTGTGCCCTGAGCTTGCTCCGGGCCTTTTTCCATTCCAGTTTTAAGCAAGCCACATGATTTCTCCATGTCCCGCAGGGATGTTTTACTATGATCTAGTTAGATGTCGTAGTTTGCACATGTTTAGTGATAGCCAACTTTACATTTTCTTTCCTAAATATGAGTTTTCTGGTTATTTCTCCCTAGCGAAAAGTAACTGAGAGGGTCATAACTGAGCAGCCCCATATGCATAAAATTGAAATGGAGTCATATAATATAGAATCACAGAATCAAGTTGGTTGAAAAAGACCTTTAAGCTCATAAAGTCCAACCATTACCCCAGCACTGCCAAGACCACCGCTGAACCTTGTCACTGAGGGCCTCATATACACAAAGTGTGAACACTTCCAGAGACGGTGACTCCAGCACTGCCCTGGGCAGCCTGTTCCAATGCCTGAGCACCCTCTGGCGAAGGAATTGTTCCTCATCTGCATCTAAACCTCCCCTGGTGCAGCTTGAGGCTGTTTCCTCTTGTTCTGTCACTTGTTCCTTAGGAGCAGAGACCCACTCCACCTCACTACAACCTCCTGTTAGGGAGCTGTAGAGAGCTGAGCCTTCTCTTCTCCAGATTAAACTCCCCAGGTCCCTCATCCATTCCCCATCACACTTGTGCTCCAGGCCCTGCCCCGCTCCAATACCTCAATGTCTCTCCTGTAGTGAGGGTCCCAGAACTGAACACAGGATTCCAGTGCCCAGTGCAGGGGGATGATCACTGCCCTGGCCCTGCTGGCTACGCTACGCAGGATGCCGTTGGCCTTCTTGGCTGCCTGGGCACAAGCTGCTCATGTTCAGCCCTGTCATTCAGCACCCCCAGGTCCTTTTCTATGAGCAGATTTCCAGCTGCTCTTCCCCAAGGCTGGAGCGTTGCGTGGGGTGATCTTTCAGTCTTATAGAGGACACCAGAAATCGTGATGGTAATAGTGAAATTAGGATTTCCTAGGGTATAAAAAAAGCTGAAGAGTGATCTTGAAAGGTTAAACTGATATCCAGTCATCTTATCCACCAATGCACCCACTTACACCTCAATGCCATACATGTGCTTTGTGTTACATGGCATGATAGCAATTACACAATGAGCATTGCAGCTGGTTTCTTCCTCTGATAATAGCTACAAGTCAGGTCTGTATACTGGTGATAATTACTCCACGACAGTTCCCAGAGAGCTGACTAGCGATACTCATCACAGCTGGGACTTGATTTCAGTGCTGTAAAGGAGGTTTTCACTGAAGTTGCTGGACAGTCAAGGTTGCAAAATCCAGCTGGGAACTTGTAGATACTTGACTGCCAACTCAATGCAGAAATCACTTCATTACTGTCAGTAACTGAATTAGCCAAATGTAAGATTTCAGGCCTGCATAGATGTCTGAATGCATTGCAAGTGTACCTTTTGACCATGGCTTGGACGTCTCCTGATACTGCCTTTTCTGGCTATTGTGACAAGATCTCTCTTAATTCCTTGAATAGATTTAAATGAATAGGAAGCTCAAGCCTATTAAACTCAAGATTGCTCTCTGGTTTTTTTCCCAGTGATGTCTGATTTCTCTCATGTCTGCATGGGAGGCTGCAGCAAACATATTTCCTGAAGTGACATAAGATAGTGGAAAAATATTCCAAGAAATTGAGCACTAATAGTACTTCTGGAGTGTGGGGAAAGAAAACCGGAGTTGCTCATACTGGGTATCAGGAGAAGGTTTCTGACCGTGAAGAGTAGCAAGCACTGGAAGGGGTTTCCCAGGGAGGTTGTGCAGTGTCCATTCGTTGGGGTTTTCAAGACCAGAAAAGATAAAGCCCCGAGTTACCTGGTCTAACCTCATAGCTGACTGCTTTGAGCAGGAGTTTGGACCTTAAGAGGTGCCTTCCTGAATTATCCTGTGATGCTATGCTCTATACAGATCTAAATCCTGGAGTTGCCTTTCTGAATCAGATTAGACCTGTTGCTTTAGTCCTGTTCTGCCAGAACATGGGCTCCCATGTGTTTTTTTGGTCTGGCAATTTTGCAAGAAACAGCTCAAGTGACAGTTAGGCTCATGCACAGAGTTATCAGTCATTGGCCATGCAGAATGGAAAAGGCAGTGCTCTTCATTTAGCAATCTCTGGGTCAAATCTGACCTGCCAAAGCTAGCTGGCTGGCCTGCTGGACTCCCCTCTACAAGGAATGGTCAGTGTACTGTCAGAGGGAGGAGTACATACTTTCTGTGTTGCTTTCTCACTGGATGTGCTATATGAAATGTAAATGAGTGGCTTATAGCATTCACAGTAGGAGAAGTGGAGCCAAAGACCACCTACTTCGAATCTAGCCACTTTACATTTAGCAGAGTGGGAGCAAAGTAAGATACTGACAGGAGATGGGGTAAGTAGCTGGAGCAATCAACGAGCAGCCCCTTCATTTTTCTTCCTACTCATCCCTCCCCACAGATCTGAAGGTGTGTGGAGTGAGATCTGCTATGGCA